TATTGATAAATACTGAAAAATCGCTTTATTCTATCTATTTTGGGACACATTTCTTCACCATCACTTTCGTAGTCTTTCAAAAAAGCAATAAGACAGTATTTCACATATTATTTCTTTTAGATTATGTTTCATAAAAAAAAGAGGTATAGTTAAACCAATAAAAATGTTGTACGATCTGAGTATAGTAGATCTACAGTAGAGTCTGTCGAGTAACGACCAAGACTCGACTGGATCCGAATCTGGAACCGTGCTGACAAACACAACTCTAAAAGTTAGAGCTGATTAAAACTTAATTCCTACTAGATTGGTGTCAATGTTGTCTGAGAAATGTTTAGAGTGTGTTAGCAGCGAATACAAATCATCGTAAATGAAATACATGATCAATAATGTGAAGAGGGTTACATACCAGCTAGATTATTTCAACGATATTTAGAAATATCCGAATCCGAGTTTTAGGACTCTTCCATAAATGACTCATATATCTCATGAAACGCGCAGGCGATTACCTAAATTCTCAACACTGTCAGAGCTGGTTGGATAGTTCTCGAACTCGAACATAAAGCCGAAGTGTGAATTCGATGCATACCTAATAGCATACAACAAAATGTTACTTTTATCTATATAAAAATAAACTTTGTGACATTTTTTTCTCTAAGTATTAAATAAAATTACTAGCAAAACATCAGGTTTTGTTCATAAAAGAAAATGAAAATAATCTTTTTCTATTTGATCATTTCATTCATAAAAAATATTTGAATACGGAGATCATTAGAAAGCTATTCAACAAAATAAAATATATTTTACACATTGTTAAAGCGATGATCTGAGACTATTCTCTTGATGGTTTACTCGAAGAAATTCACTTTTTTCATTTATTCAACAATGAATGCTAGGAGAAATGTTTTTATTTCTTACAAACTTAAGCTTATTGCGTATCCTACAATAATCATAACTATATTGTTGTTAACATATCTTTACATAATTTTAATACGAGAAAAAGAAACAATTCTACTTTTTAGGTTACTCCACAAGTGAGAGCTATCATTGATAAACTTAATGCAACATTAATGAAAATTAGTAAAACAGATAGCATTGAAAGTTTAATTCAGCAAATTGCAGTTAAATCAGCAGCAGCTGGTGGCATTTATACATGGCTTGATAGTTAAATTCAATTCTTCTTTTTTCTATTCAATTATATACATAATCGTTTTATATTTATTAGATACTCTTAAATTTCATACTGTTTATTTGGAAGTGAAACCAAAACAAATAGCTTTAGATGCTGCTAATGATGAATTAAGTCGAGCACAACAAGCTTTTTCAAAAATTCTTGCACGCGTACAAATACTTGAAGATTGTTTAACTGAAGAAAATCTTAAAATGCAACGAGCTCTTGCTGAAAAAGATGATGCTGTTAGAACAAAAGAACGATTAGCACGTCAAATTGATTTAGCTGAACGTCTTGTTGATGGTCTTGCTTCAAGTCGAATTATATGGACAAAACGTGTTGAAACATTTAAAAATGATTTAGAAACTTTATTAGGTGATGTTTTATTAGCATCAACATTTATTTCATATGCTGGATATTTTTCAAGAAGTTATCGAATTAATTTTGTTAATAAATGGAGATCCGCTATTGTAGCTACTAAAGTATGTCAATGAAAATTTGAAAAGTTTACTTTTGTATTCGACTACGAGTAAGAGACTTCACACATGTATTTTCGAACTGGATAAAAATCGCCTGTAGTGCGAACAAATGCGCAACATGAATTGATATAATATTGGAAGACTGTTTTGAAAGAATGATTTTTCTGATGAATGAGAAACTGCAATAAATGTTATTTATGTCTTTGCCATGATTCATTATAAGTCAGAACGTCTCGGTAGATATTCAATAGAACACTAAGAAAATTTATGCTGTGAAATATAAGGAAAAACTCAAAATGTATCGATCTGTATGAAAGATTTTATGATTCATTTGTTACAAAGAATAATAAATCGTAAATTAACTTTTCTCTGAGATTGTGCCGTTTTTATACTATTTAGTAGTTCTGTAGTGACTAATTCAATTGTTTTTCAAAATGAAATATATCGAAATTAGATTCATTTATGGGGAATTTTCATCGAAAATGTGACTAACGACTACGTTCAATAGTTATCTAATTGAGTTTCTTGTAGATTAGACAGTGTTAAAATCTTCTTTCATAACCTTACATAGCTAACCATTCGAAACATATTGAACTATCTTCGCATTAAATACATTAAAATAAAACGATTTTATTGCTAGATCTCATTTCTTACTATTCCTGTAGGGTGTCATACCAATGCGAACTGATCTTCAACCATTATCCATAATTATTGATGATGCTGATATTGCCGAATGGTAATTTATATCAATTTTTATTACTCGCATAGGATTTTGTTTTGTTTCGAACAGGATGAATCAAGGTCTTCCAGCTGATCAAACATCATATGAAAATGCTGCTATTCTTATCTATTGTTTGCGATGGCCATTAATGGTCGACCCTCAAGGACAAGGACTTCGTTGGATTAAAAATCTTTTTACTGATAAATTAGTTACACTTCGTTATAATAGTAAAGGTTATCTTGATCGTGTTGAAACAGCTGTACGTCGAGGTGATACACTTTTACTTGAATGCATTGAAGAAAATATTGATTCTATATTGGAACCAATTATTAATCGAAATTTAATTCGTAAAGGAAAAATAGTTAAATTTGGAGACAAAGAAATTGAGTATCATCCTAATTTTCGCTTAATAATGCAAACACGTTTAGCTAATCCACATTTTCGACCTGAAATTCAAGCACAAACAACATTAATTAATTTTAGTACAACACGAGATGGTCTTGAAGCACAATTATTAGCTGAAATTGTTGCTGCTGAAAGGCCTGATTTAGAGAAGAGTAAATTTGAAGTAACAAAACAACAAAATGAATATAAAATAAATTTAAAAAAATTAGAAGATTCATTATTAGCACGTTTAGCAACGGCTGAAGGAAATTTTATACAAAATGTTGAACTTGTTGTTACACTTGAACGTACGGTTAATACATCTGTAGAAATTGAACAAAAAAAATTAGAAGCTGAAAAATTTAGTCAACAAATTGATCGAACAAGAGAATTATATCGACCAACAGCTATTCGTGCATGTATTATTTATTTTAGTATGAATGATTTATCGAAAATTCATCCAATGTATCAATTTTCTTTGAAAGCATTTCGATCAGTTTTTCTTAAAGCTATTGATTATGCTGAACAAAATGAAGATTTCCGTATTCGAATAGATAATCTTATCGATGCTATTACATTTGCTTCGTATTCATATATTGTTCGAGGTCTTTTCGAAGAACATAAACTTATTTTTACTATACAATTATTATTACAGGTTAACAAGAATAATTTAATTAGGCATGCACCGAACCTGAACGTTCGGGTTCGACCTTGACTACAACCATTTTTCAGTCAATAAAGTAAAAGAAAGGATTCCAAACTTTGCTATAGTTAAGCTACACACAGTAGAGTAAATGATCGTAAAACCGGAGGTCTGCAGGCATATGAAAAAAAAATAGTCAATAATATTCATAAATACTTGAACCCAAAACTAACCGAACTTTAGAGTGTTCGTATTTGGTGCATGTCTAAATTTGACTAATAGAAATATTTTTTTTATTTATTGAAATAGATCTTAACAGAAAAAGGTGAAATTGATATGGTTGAACTTGATTTACTATTACGAAATCCTCAAGAAACACATGCAGGAAGTCCTGTGGAATTTCTTAATGAAAAGGCTTGGGGCAGTGTAAAAGCTTTATCATTACTACCGATTTTTCATGGACTGGATCGCGACATTGAAACATCGAGTAAACGATGGAAAAAATATGTTGAAAGTGAAGCACCTGAATTAGAAAAACCTCCAGTAAATGCAACGAATAAATTCGATTTTTATATTGTTCCTAAATTTTCTTTGCTCAGGGGGAGTGGAAAAGTAAATCAACAATGCAACAATTATGTATTCTTCGTGCTGTTCGACCTGATCGAATGCTTTATGCATTAAAGTATATTAAACATATTCACTGATTGAAGTATGTCCTAATGATTGTTTTTCTTTTTGAAAAGATTATTTGTTGCTGAAAAACTTGGTAAAAAATATATTGAAAGTCGTGCGGCAGATTTTGCTCGTATTTATGACGAATCATCCAAATCAATACCTATTTTTTTTATTCTTTCACCTGGTGTTGATCCATTAAAAGAAGTTGAAACATTAGGCAAAAAATTAGGTTATACATCACAAGCAGGAAAATTTTATAATATTTCATTGGGACAAGGCCAAGAAATAGTAGCTGAAAATGCATTAGAAATATCAACTAAAGAAGGTCATTGGATTGTTTTACAAAATATTCATTTAGTACGACATTGGTTGCCAATATTAGAAAGAAAATTAGAACGAATATTAGAAATTGGACAAGAAAATTTTCGTCTTTTTATGTCAGCAGAACCGACTGCAGATCATAGTGCACATGTTATACCACAAGGAATTTTAGAAAATTCAATTAAAATTACGAATGAATCACATACAGGTAAGAATCAATTTTCAAAAGATATCGAATCATTGGAAAAATATAACTTGTAATATTATTGTTATGAAAGCATGAGTTTATGACTAGAGATCGGTGCGATCAATATGTTTCCGTCTCACGGTCGTCGCGATCACGATCGTGAGCTTAAGTCGAAAAAAATTCTACTAGCTGTATTCGTACAATCTGTTGCAGATCAGATGTGGATACTGGTGGTATGAAAAAGCTCATCAACTCATGTCATTCGAATTTTTTTTACTTCAGAAACAAAATTAAAATAAACTAACAAAATTTTTTTTCAATGAAAACAAATAGAATCATGTTCCTTGCAAAATGAAAGAGACGATCATAAATGTATTAGCTAATTTCGTTGTTCTTGACATTTGAAACTGTTAATAAATGAGATATTATAAATCCCTTGCAGTGTATTTTTACTGTTGATCGTACTCTACTTGAATCGTCTACTGTTATTGAATCGGATTTAATAATCATACGATTTAAGAATATGAATTAACTTTTCATACCACTTGTATGAAGCAATGGAAAAAATTTCTTTAAGGATAGTATCTATTAGTAGAGATGTGAGCTGATCACCAGAGGCGCCGATTAATGCATGGACTTGCATGTGTCTCTGTAAGGTGAAATAAGGAGGAAAGTAAAACAAATCTGACTTCCGACTTAGCTTCTAGAGTTGCAATACATTGTCTTGGCACTACTTCTATGTTATCGATGATCAAGCTAATGATCTTCACACCGTATCTCTAATAGATTTCTGCACTGCTAATACTTAGCGAACTTCATTTTCTCTAATAGATTATAAAATATAAGAGAGATTTTGAGCTGAGACATGTGGTCTAGTTAGTGTAATCCTGTAAACAAATAAAAGTGAAAATAAAAAAAATAGCTCATAAACGTATTGGATAAAGAGACATTATGCAGACCATTAATATATATTTTAGCATTAGTCTTTAGATTTGATCGTGGAATGTAAATATGATCGAATAATTCAGAATTATCATAATCACATCGAGAATGAAGATCTCCCGAATACTACCTTACAAACAGTTGATTTGATGAGAAACAATGGATTTTATCTCAGGCTCTGGGACTAAAAAATATGCTAGTTACATCAGGCAATGAAACCAGTCATGAACATGTATCTTCATTTTTCATCATTCGTCGTACCTTCTCTGATTCCTTAGATATTTGTTAGGATTAGAATTAACGGAATCTTTATCAATAAAAACAAGAATTTAAAATTGATTACAAAATAATCTTGAGATATTCCAAGTCTCTGATGAACTTCTTTTAAAATTATACTTCTGTTAAGATTATATTTCTACCAAAGTCATCTTTATTCTGTATATCCGCAATTGTCATTATCTAATTCATCGAATCTGCGGCTATTATAACTACTATATTCATTGAATCATTCTAAATGAAAAATCTCATATTGTTGAATAAAGTTTATCGCTTTGCAATCCAAGTTTAGAAATACATGCCGGTTCTGACCGAAAAAATTATAGAAACCTGGAAGCAGAAGTTCAGCTAATGGATCCGATCATCGGATTGCTGTTTCCACGTTCCTATCATTTTGCCAAGTTTTTTTGTGAGAACTCGCCGGAAATCTAGTGGAAAAGTCGTTGAAATGATTGAACTGGTAACATTTATTAGATACTATCCGTATAATATCCAACTACTGTAGTAAACTATTGTATTTCATTTGATTTAATGCCGACAATAATTTCGTTATAACATAGTCATTCTACTGTACTTTACAATTTGTTTTAAATGCATTTTTAGGAATGTTGGCTAATCTTCACAAAGCATTAGATAATTTCGATCAAGAAGTTCTCGATTCATGTAGTAAAGATACACAATTTAAAGTTATTCTATTTGCTCTATGTTATTTTCATGCTGTTGTATCTCAACGTACAAAATTTGGTTCTATAGGCTGGAATAGGTAAGACATCTTCATCTTACCAAAAAAGATACAAGTTATCTAATAATCTCAATTCAATAGAAAATATCCATTTTCTTCCGGAGATTTACAAATATGTATTGATGTTTTACGTAATTATCTTGAAGCAAATGTTAAAATTCCTTGGGAAGATCTACGTTATATATTTGGTGAAATAATGTATGGTGGACATATAACTGATAATTGGGATCGTCGTTTATGTCATAATTATCTTGAAACATATCTAAATCCAACAATGTTTGAAGGTGATCTTTATTTGGCACCGGATTTTCCATTAGCACCTCCACTGGATTATAAAGCATATCATGCTTATATTGATGATAAACTTCCAAGTGAATCACCAAAACTTTATGGACTTCATCCAAATGCTGAAATTGATTTTCTTTCTCAAACAAGTGAAAAACTTTTTCGTATACTTATTGAAATTTCACCAAGAGATACAAATTCAAATGCTCATGGACAAAGTGGAACAATCTCACGTGATGAAAAAGTAATATTAATATTAATATTACATTTTTGAATAAATATATAAATAAATTAGATACGAAACGTACTTGAAGAATTTCAAAGTCATATGCCTGAAGATTTTAGTATTGTTGAATTACGTGCACGTGCTGATGAACGTAATCCATATGCCGTTGTTGCTTTACAAGAAGCTGAAAGAATAAATAATTTATTACGTGAAATTCGACAAAGTCTTAAGGAACTTGATGGTGGTCTTAAAGTTTGTTTTATTATTATTATTTATTTATTTAAAAAATAAAATAGTTCATATTACCTATTCTCTAGGGTGAATTAGCCATATCATCCGAGATTGAAATTTTACAAGAATGTTTCTATCTTGATATTGTACCTATTCAATGGGCTAATCGAGCTTATCCATCACTTTATTCATTAGGTATATGGTTTCATGATATGTTAAATCGATATCGAGAAATAGAAAATTGGACAGCAGATTTTCAATTACCGAATTCTGTATGGTTAGGTGGTCTGTTTAATCCACAATCATTTCTTACTTCAATTATGCAAGCTGTTGCACGAAAACTAGACTGGCCACTTGATCGTATGTGTCTTATAGTTGAAATAACAAAAAAACAAAAAGAAGAATTACAAAATGCACCAAAAGATGGTGCTTATATTCATAAGTATTGTGAAAAATATGTTTAATAAATTCTCATATGTTTCTTTTTTCTTTTTTTAAATTTAGTTTATTTATTGATGGAGCACGATGGGATAAACAAAGTAATTTATTAATAGAAGGAAAATTAAAAGAATTATGTCCACCAATGCCAGTTATATTTGTTAAAGGTAAAATATTTTTGAGTAAAAAAATATAATGTATAATGAATAGAATTCTTTTAGCTATACCTATCGATCGATTAGATACCAAAGGTACTTATGATTGTCCAGTATATAGAATTAAAACAAGAGGAAATACATATATTTGGCATTTTAATTTGAAGACAAAAGAAAAACCATCAAAATGGGTGCTTGCTGGTGTAGCACTTTTATTACAAATATGAATATCTCTTTTTCTTTTTGATTATTTTATGTGATTAAGTTTAAGACAACGTTCTTCTTTTTGCTTTAAATACATTAAAGTGTCACTATACATTATTCTTTTTCTAAATGTTTGAAAGACTCAATAAGTACACATGGTTATAACATATACTTTCTTATACAACAATACAAATATTGATATTTTATCTATAGTTAAAGAATTGTAAGAGATGCTTATTTTAGTTTTCAACTGATAATATTTTCCATTGAAGGGTGTTGATGCGTAGAATACCCCTATCTAACAAAAAAAAATTTATCATATCATAATCGGTTGCACTTTTTTTTTATTTTTAATTTACTTGATTTTTATTTCTGAGATAAAATATTTGTTTTGTAAAAGTATAATTTTCTAAAGATAACAACTAAAGAATCAACAAAGTCATATTTACATTGACGATTATTATCTGTTTGTTGTTTATCATTGTTATTTGATGGTAAATAAATATTTTTATTGTTTCAATAATTTCAAATAGATATTTAAAGATCCCTATCTATGATCTGGTGGTCATGAATGTGTACTTAGGGTTGACAAAAAGTTCTGAGAACATTAAATAAAAATATTAAAATGAAAAGATAGTGTTGTGTTAGTTTGAGCCTCTTAAATGTTCGATATAATTGTCATGATTATTTATACAAATTCCATTTCTCTCTAATAATTAGTTAAAAGTTTTTTCGAATGCTTTTTGTGAAATAATTTTAACTCTCCTGAAAATCGCATAAGCAACTCATGCTTGATTTATTTAGCCAATTGGAGTACGCTCGATATAATTACGTAATCAAAGATTATATAGTGACAGGTCTGGCAAATAGGGTGAATGCGACATTATGTTGATAAATTCTCCTACTAAGTAGTTATTGACATTGAAGAGAACAAAAAAAACGATATTTGTGAAGTTTGATTGCATTCGTGTTCTAACTGACAGAATGACTCGGTGACTAAGCGTGAATAGAGATTCCTTGCTAATCCACCAACCTTAATCTTGCAAAGAGTACACTGGAAGTTTTTTTTTAATATTCAATAGTGGTGTATTTGTTACTTGTGGACTTAAATTTTTCGAATTTATTTTTATTTTTATTTTTTATTTTGCTCATCTAATAGAAGAAAAACTGGTGCTTAGAGTAGGCCTATCAGTACAAAAACGTTTTTACTAACCTGCGACAAGAAATAAAAAGGAAGCTAGAAAAAGAGAAAAATTACAAATAGAAATACAACACAAAAAATACAAAATAAACGCAGCGAAGGAGTAGCTTACAACAGGGCGAAAGAATAGAGAAGGAATAGAGGTGCGCTAGAAAAGAAAAAAAAATATCTATATATAATGAAGAAAATCCAGCAATACGTTCGTGTACAAAAACAATGTTAGAATGTTTCGGGATGATCTTTCAATAATTCGATATCATCATATTGAATCTGTGGTATCGTACCCAATAGAGGATTACTATCATACCAGGATAAACACTTTTGCAAGACTGATTTATGCTCCACGAATCTTTTCGATAATTTTTCGAATTTATTTGTTTGATTCGATCCTTCTTGCTTTCTTTTTTGACAAATTCTCGACTACTATTCTAAACAGCGAACATGCGCGTATGAATCAATCTTTATCAGTAGAAGCATATCTTTTATTCACAAATAACTTAAAAATAAATACAGACAGAAAAATCAATACATAAAACCTTGAAACTAACGGGGGTTCCATAAAGAATGAATTTGTCAAGAATTCGACAATATTTCTTCTAGATTTCATTGTTTGATATTGACATTAAAAAAAGTAATTTTTGTTCAATTTGCTTCAAATTCATTTGAAAAGAATATATTTAAAATGTAAGTGTGAAAAAATATTCGATGCCATTTTCAATAAACACTGCTTCTAGTTAGATTAGTTTTATGCTTGTTAAACTGATAGCATTTTTGTCATCAAGCACCTTGATATCCATCAAGTTTAAGAATAAACTTTTTCTTTTTTTCATTCATAAATAAATTCAAGATTCATATATCATTATTCAGTACATTTATTATTGACCAAAGAAATCAAACTAATGTGCTGAGCGAACATCAAAAGTAAGAAAAAAGCGAAGTATATATTAATTCAAATATCTGAAATAATTTGAATAACAAAAAGAAAAACAGATTCAAAACAATCTAATGATTTGGATACCATAAAAAACTCTTTTATTGATCATCACCACCTCGAAGTCGAAGTACAAGGTGAAGTGTACTTTCTTTTTGAATATTATAATCACTGAGTGTTCGACCATCTTCAAGCTGTTTGCCGGCAAAGATAAGACGTTGTTGATCAGGTGGAATACCTTCTTTGTCTTGGATTTTTGCTTTCACGTTTTCGATTGTGTCACTTGGTTCAACTTCGAGTGTTATAGTTTTACCAGTGAGTGTTTTCACGAATATTTGCATACCACCACGTAATCGAAGAACTAAATGAAGAGTACTTTCTTTTTGAATGTTATAATCACTAAGTGTTCGACCATCTTCGAGTTGTTTGCCGGCAAAGATAAGACGTTGTTGATCAGGTGGAATTCCTTCCTTATCTTGAATTTTTGCTTTCACATTTTCGATTGTATCACTTGGTTCAACTTCGAGTGTTATAGTTTTACCAGTGAGTGTTTTCACGAATATTTGCATGCCACCACGTAATCGAAGAACTAAATGAAGAGTACTTTCTTTTTGAATGTTGTAATCACTAAGTGTTCGACCATCTTCGAGCTGTTTGCCGGCAAAGATAAGACGTTGTTGATCAGGTGGAATTCCTTCCTTATCTTGAATTTTTGCTTTCACATTTTCGATTGTGTCGCTTGGTTCAACTTCAAGTGTAATGGTTTTTCCAGTAAGGGTTTTTACAAAGATTTGCATTGTTATTGTTTAATAGCAAGTAGAGAATGAGAAGAAATAAATATATGTTTAGTAAGAATGAATGAAGTAATGGGAGGAATACTGCTGTTTTTATACTCTATGTTGTGTTGGAATGACTCAGCGCTCGAATGTTCGAGACGATAATAAAAGACTTCAAATGTAATAATAATGACACATAGTTACTAATGACGAATAAAAGAAGCAAAAGAATACACGAGAAAAAAGCGTTGAGAAAGTAACTGGTAATAACAGAGAGAAATGACTCATCGTATCAATAGCAAGCGATGTACTGTAGAGAGCGCTGGAAATTTTATACTTTCTCAGAGACGTTGAATTTCGTCATCTGAAATGGTAAAAATAAATAAAAATGTATTCGAATTCTGTTTGGTTTGTGAATTTGGTGAAATTATCAAGTAATACTTCATAAATATTTATGACTATGTAATGATGATGTATAAAACATAGTTCTATTTTTTTGTCTGCGTTCATATCATACACATGACTTATACTGAATACGCTTAAAACTACTTAGATATCAATGATAGTGTCAATAATTGTTCGAGAAGACATAAACAACTATGCCAAACGATCAATCAATAAAGAACTCTTCATTGACACTTGTCGTTTATCAATACAATATGTTCAGTGATTATATATGCTAACATGAAAACAGAGATTTTCTATATTAATTGAATATTCATCAGTATTAATAGCGACCAAATTTCTTGCAGATCACACAACATTAAAAGAATAATTTTCTCGTGTATAATTATACTAAGATACAAACAGAGTATGTTTTGTTCTATTTTACACATCGAGGAGTCATCATATTTTGTATATCCGACGACTAAAAAATAAGAAACAGTAGAATCTCACAATTAAAATATGATCCTGATAAATAAATAATAAATGTAAGATGTAGTCAATAATTGTTTTAGTCACATAAGTAATAAACATTCCTCATCACGCTAGCCAAAGTCACATGTTTTGTTTTTGTTGATTTCACAGTGACATCCAAACATATAATATCACAAAATGAATCTGTTGAGAAATATAACAAATATCTCAAGATCTTCTTATTTCACAATAAGACTAAAATTATATTTAAAAATCAATAGTTATATTACTAAAATTCATCTAATATTATAACAAGACGTACAGAAGAGAGAGGATTCAGTAATAAAAAACCAAACGATTAAGTTGACAAAAAAAAAGAGCCCATTTATTTTAGTCAAAGGTTTAATTTAATACTAAGACAACAAATTTTCTTCAATAAAAAAAAGCACCGATATATATATAAAACTTCAAGTTGGTCTTTTCTATGTTTTCGACAATACTAGAATACAACACTAATTTTAATAATAGCAATGTCAAGCTGTTAGTGATTGAATCTATTTTCATTATTATAAACCAGCAAATGCATAATAAGAGTTGACATGCTTATCTATGGTTCTTCTCAAGGTTAACATTTTCCCGAGTATATCATGTAATTGATATAACCGTTTTCTTGATTTTTTATATCCGGTATTTAAAAGAACAAAAAGAAGTCTTTGGTTTCTTTCATTTATAAATTAAATTTAAATTTATAAGTATAAATTCTCAGTTGTTTTATCTATTTCCTTATACAAAAAGATAATATCAAGCATGTACTGACTATTAATGACAAATGCATAAAAGAAATGCACGTATACAATATTATGAAGAGCAGAAATAATGGGAATTACAGAAAAATAACAAGAGTCAGTTGAGTTGAATTTTCAAATGTAATGCAGATTTGTTATTGATGATCACCACCACGTAATCGAAGTACAAGATGCAGTGTACTATCTTTTTGAATGTTATAATCATTTAATGTGCGATCATTTTCAAGTTGTTTGTCGGCAAATATGAGACGTTCTTGATTAGGTGGAATACCTTTTTTGTCTTGGAGTTTACTTTAACATTTTTAATAGTATCACTTGACTCAACTTCAAGTATAATAGTTTTACCAGTAAGAGCTGTTACAAAGACTTGCACAGTTATTGTTTAATACCAAGTAAAAGAAGAGAAATAACTATATGTTTAGTGCAAGCTGAATGAAATAACGTTAGAAAAATTGTTGCTTTTATACTGTGTGTCAGCTTTTTTAATAGGAGACTAACTTGGAAAACTAAATGTACAGTATCCTAATGAAATAGAAAATACAGTGTTTTACACGCTGACGAAAACAATTGCATGTATGCTATACACACTGAATTTCATTTTTACACTTTGTTTTGCAAGATTTGCGTACCTTGATGCTTAAAAGTTTATCTATTGAACTTGATCAAGATTATAAATACTTTGAGCATTCACTTAGCACATGTTCCACTATGAATATAGAAGTGCATTCTAACTAAGATTTTGTTTCCCAAAAAGAGTTTTTTTTTTTTCAGTTTTTCTAAATGGTACAGCACAGTATGAGAGTGCGAGTGGATGACGATATCTAGGAAAGATGTCTTACTTCTAAAAACCTCAGCTTCAAGACACTCATCCATTCAGAGTAGAACATCTGCTAAAAGAATACCATAGAAATCGAATAGAACTCTAATTGAAATCTAAATTGTATGTGTGAATGTTGAGCGAAAACAATAAGATGAATACATTACTATCTCCATTAGAATCTAATAGTTCGTCAAGAAGGAATATCTGGTAATCGGAAACAATATTTATCTTCTGTTCATTTTGCACACTTTCGTCTACGAAACATGATGAACGGATGCGTAATATTCTAAAAATACCATGTACTTGTACATTTTATTTCAGATTTTCATTAAAAGTATTGTTTTCTACGGTGAAACAATGCAATAAAAAGACTTATTTATAATGCTTGCTTGTGTGTATTAATGTCTATCCGGTAACACGCTAATGTCAATTTTGGACTAGATAATTTCATAATTTTCAGATGTATTTTCTGACAAAATTCGATCTTATCATAGATGAATAACAATTGAAGACAAGAATAGGCACTAAAATCTATAATATGTGCTTGCAGTTCTATTTCATGTATTACACTGGATATGATTTCGAGTATCAAATAAGTATGATATATAAATCAAAAAAAAAAATACTCTCGAAAAATGACTTTCAAATGCATTTATCTGAGTAAAATAATGATATAAGAAAGTTTCAGCAAGTGAATGCACATTTTTTTCACTTTCTCTACCTAAACTCATCAAAATAGGCCTTTTTCGGCGTTGTTTTGATCTACTCAACGCATAAAAATAAGTTGACATCGAAAAAAATATTTTAACGCGTCATTTTTCTTAATGCAAGAACTAAACGAGTTATACAGTATCGCTTCCTGGGATTTTCGCGTTCAATCAGTCAAAACATCGTTTTTCTATTTATCTGCCTATGTGGGGATTCTAAAAAAATGCGTTACCTGTTCTAGAGGATGCATAAACGTGTAAAATGTTTTTAGATTTACGCGTCTTCACCCGTTTGCAGTGCAAACTTCACAAATTTTATCCTGTTCAAGGATTAAAGGCGCATTGATGCGTAAAGATTAGTTTAAAAAAAAAACATATTTTTATGCATTTTTTTTGAATAGGTTTTATTGTGTTCAGCAAGCATTCTTTATTTTTGGTCTTTTTAAGCAATTCAACCCGGTTTAACTACTAAATTTTTAGTTGATGCATTTGGTAGTCGAGTTTTCTTAGAATCATTAAAGTTCTTAGTTTTGACATGAATAAGTGTCATAAGTTGTATAAGATTATATTATCAGAAACTGATAAAAAATAAATCTAGAATATTATATATTAGCGTTTAGTATTGATGAAAATCAAAATTAGTTTAATAACCATACAACAAAAAATGTAGCTACACGTATGAAACACTCCGTGAATAATAGAAAAAAATCGTATTGGCTGAATAGGAGCGACTGAAACGTAATTATCCAGTTTTTTCTCTGTTAAACCAATTTTCTATTTATGAAGAAATGAATCTGCATATTCCAAATTTTCATGAAGAAAAGATTCGTTTATACCAGCGTTCCAATGACATGTATCAGGAAAAAAGTGCTACTTTTTCGTTTCAACACATTATTTCTGATGGCAACACGTTCAAATGCACCGGTTTTTTCTCTACATCACTCTTTTCAAGTTTAAAACGTCACCTAAAAATATTGCTTAAACGCGTTTATGAGAGACACGTCTTTTACTCCCAATAGACGTCATTTGAATTACCGTTCGAACGCGCTTTCTTTTATACTTTGGACGCATTTATTTTGCATACATTCAAACCCGACTTTTCAGCTTTCTTTTACTGAAAAAAAATGCCATTTTTACTTACAAACGTGCCATATTGCGGTTTTATAAAATACATTTTTCTTATTGAAAAACGATTTTTTCCAACAGACAAATTAAAATATTCACATTGTTATAATGAGTGAAAATGCCGTTTTATGAGATGAAGTCTGCTATCGTTTAGACAAAAGTTTTGAAGTATCATACTAGCAAATATATCACTTAAATAGATCCGTTATAGAGATGAATTTTATGAGTACTGTGTATTTCGAATATATTTTGATCCTGAGAAAAAATCGAAATAGTTGTGTAACAAAAAGTGCAAACATAGATAAACAATTCTGTTAAATTTTTCCCTACAAAGATATAATATACTGTGCTTTTTGTTGATTTTTAACAAAATTTCTAATGATTTATAGTTAAAATGTTATTTTTATGACATATTTAATACATTGAAAGAAGTTAGATTTCAAAAGAATAAAATAGTTCATGTTTTTTTATTGCTTCCCTAATAATCGACTCAGTTTTTCTCAGTTATTGCTTTTTTTGTATAGGTTGTCGAGAAATGTAAGTTGCTTTGTTTTCTATAATAGTTCGAATATATATATATATATGAAATTTATTCAGCAAATAATACATTTTAACAATCACAACTTTGTTCGTTTCTTTCAAACATAATTTACGAGTGATACAGATAAGAACAATGAACTTACATCTTTGCATGTGAGTGTGACTCTTCTCTTCAACCACCCTAGTATGTTCACACTCCGTCCACGCCTAAATGCACACCCACACCTAATATTCAAAATTACAAAGAAACGTTTGAACACTGAATCAAAATGTTTTTTTTTATTCTTATTGAAACTTTATGCTTTACTGTATCATTTAATCAGTTGAGTTTTTTTCAGTAAGTCGGCGAATACTGTTCTCGATACTCTGTCGAGATGCATGGTTAACAGGAACACACTTCTCATAAATAGTCAATGCATGCTGATAATAGTCAAGTGCCATTTTTTGCTTCTTCTGTTTTTCACAACAAATGCCAATATTATTCAAACTGGAACCAGTAGTGATATGCCCAGATGGATAAAATTTCTCTCGAATTTTCAATGCTCGTTGATAATAATCGAGAGCTTCATCGTACTTTCTTTGTTGATAGAGAATAACACCCATGTTGTTGAAACTATGAGCAATATCGACATGATCAGACGAATAAAATTTCTCTTGAATTTTTAGTGCTCGTTGATAATAACCAAGAGCTTCATCGTATTTTCTTTGTCGATAGAGAACAACACCAATGTTGTTGAGGCTTGTAGCAATATCGACATGATCAGATGGATAAAACTGCTCTTGAATTTTCAGTGCTCGTTGATAATAGTCAAGAGCTTCATTGTACTTTTTTTGATCGGAAAGTATAGCACCGATATTGATGAGAACATGAGCAGACTCTTTGGTTCGTGCTGGTTTTTTCTTCATCATTCGATCATATGCACGATCATAATATTTTCGCGCTTCGTTCCATTCTCCTTTAAAGTCAAAAGCTCGACCGATATTAAATTCAATCCAAGCTCGTTCTTCATCATTTGAATCATTAAATAATTGTTGAAAATATTTAAGTGATTTGTCATATTGTCCTAAATTACATAATAATCTTCCAAAAATAATCGAAATACTTAATTCTTCTGTATCTTTTTGTGTTAATTTAATAAAGTCTTTCGCAATTTTTTGTCCCTCATTTGAAAGATTCATCTTAATTATTTGTAATGATTCTTGTTCTTGCATAGATTCAATTTGAAAACAAGCATTTAAATCAAATAAAACTTCTTGTTCATTTGGATATTCAGTGAATTGGGCAATATCACCAAAAATAATATTTTTATCAATTAGTTTAATATCACATTGAATATGAAAAAGAACAGATATGACATCAGTTCTGTTTGTTGGTTTCTTTGCAAAAGCGAGTGCTCGTGATTTTCTTCGAGTAGTTGAAAGATATCCATTTATTGAAATAAGTTTTCCTTGATTCTTTTTTAATTGATTAAATACGTCTTTGTTAAGTTGAACTCCTCGATAAACATTTAAAATATTTTCTGTTGATAATAATTTTTTATGTTGACGTTGAAGATTTTGAGAAAGATCGCTAATGAAAAACCGAAATTGATATAAGAAATCAGTATCTTGAGTTCTTAATGCTTTATTAATTAACTTATAAACAAATGATTGTTTTGAATACCATCGAATTGCATCTTCAGATCGATAATATTGTTCAAATTCATTAATTAATTCAATTTCTTTTGTATTTCCATGATAATATTCTTTAAATAATTGAATTATTTGTTGTTTTGTTTGTTGATTTCGTGGAAAACGGGTAATAACATAATTAAATAATTGAAACCATAGAAATTCTGCTGATTCTTTTGATAAATCTTTAATTAACGTTTGATGTTGATCAAAGAAACAAAATGTTTCGATTTGCTTATTAACAAGATCAATCTGTTCTTTTATTGATTGAGATAAATTATGAATATCAGAATAAATTCCAATTATTTTTGAATATTCATTTAATAAATATTCATATCGATTTGTTTTTGTAGAAAAAATAAAAATTGAATCAATTTGACGAAAATAAGAAGTTCGAGGTAAAATTTGTGATGCTTTTGCTCCTGACGATATTAAAAAGATTTTTTCTTTATCAATTGATTCAATTAATTCAATACAGTGTTCAAGATCATTAGAAAAAATAACATAATTATTAATAAGACGAAGTTGTTCTTTTGCTTGTTCAGTGTCTTCACGTGGTCTGATATTTGGATGAAACCAAATAAGTGCTGTACTTTCTTTATTTTCATTATCGTTTGTACCAACAGATTGCTTTGTTTCATTATTTAGAACTGATGATTTGTAGGCCATATGAATTCAAATGAAACTTTATTTTGATGAGGCGAATATCGCTTATACACACGAAATAAAGTGTGGATGTATTTGTAAAAACGTTTTTTTTAACAAAAATCCGATGGTCGAAATAAATTATCTTATGATATCAACACGAAAATGATGGCTACTTGGTCTGTGTTCTTACATTTTCGCTGCTTATTGTACGATAAGTTTGTTATCTTTTCATTGTTTTATCAGTAAGTCAATATTGCAAACAAGTGACTGTGACTCGGAGAGGAAGAAATAGAATCTAGGGATATTAAACATTTTCGTTTTATTATTTCCATGAATTCTTTAATGATGCAAATGATGAGTAGTCACGATGATGGAAAAATTTTTTGTTTGATAACATTTAAAAACAACACATGAGAATTCTACATTTTAGCCTCAAATGTGTCTTTGCTGTCTTTCGTTATTTTGGAATTTTCGCCATCTAGATATCATTCTCTTACTCCATAAATACTTGCATGATACTTTTGGAAAGTCTAAAATGATTGACATGTGTTTTTAAAACAATTGATTTTTAGCTCATTGAAAAACTTTGATTAGAAATGAAATTAACTGACCAAATTGACTTGATTTTCGAGTTTTCAGTCACCAAATTTAAGACTGATGTCTCTAATTTTTAATAAATTTTTATGTATGAGACTGGAAAGTTATAGTTTTTCAGGAGTATTTATGAATTTTAACTTAATGAATAAAAACTTGGCAGTTTTCTGTATTACCACAAGAAAAGGCACTTGATTGGGTTTAACCACAATGGAGATGTATAATTTTATTTTTCTGTAATTGACTTTTCGGACATTCTGTAAAAGATGATATAATATCACACAGTAAGTTTGATATATTCTTTTATACTCTGCAATTTTACTATACAAACAATGAAAAACAAATAGATAACAGAAAGAAAATATTTTGTCTAAGTATGCAAAACAAACTGATACAAATTTAGTTTTATTCCATTATAGTATATGTCAGTTTTGTATTTGCATAGCTGCTGGTTGGCGTAGGGGTATACTAGTTCGTTTTCGAGTAAATAGTAAATTGCGTATACGAGGATTGATAACAATCATTGCTACATTCATTATAAGAGTACTTATTGAATACAATAATAATTGCAGACGATAAGACATTGGATGAAGATAATTTGTAAAGAAAAACACTGCCCGCACGATAACATTAAGTATACCTATACTACTCATAATTAGAACAGTATAAAATATACTCTTGACTACTGCAAATTCTCGATTAGCATTATATACAACTGAATGGTGAAGAAAAACAAATAGTCGAAAATAAACTAGACTAACAAATCCAAATTGAATAAGAAATGTTGATAGAACGATGTAAATCATTCCTGGCAGATTTGTAAAAGCTATTAAACAATAATTTTCGCTTGGAAGATAGACAAACAAGTTCTTAATAATAAGATACGGACACATGAGAAAACAAGCTAATAGCCAGCTGAAAATAACAGCCAATAAGTGAACTCTAAATGTTCGAAGCCAAACATATTGACGATACACAACATGAATTAATCTTGACGCAGCTTGAAGACAATAACCATTAAAACATGCTGAAGCAGTGAAACAAAGAAAATATCCTTGTAATCGACATACTACTGAATCACCATCATATCCAATCTTAAAATCAACTCTTAGTGATCGTACAGTCAATGAATATACTGATAATGAAAGTAGAAAAACAGCGAAAAATGTTGCAGCATAAATAAATAATTCGAGATTTTGACGATATCGCCGTTGTAAAATAATAAATAGACACAAAATAATTGCAAGTATACTTGTAAATAGTGATAAAAAAAATCCGACCAGATTTAAAATAATGGCATTCATGATAAATGACAGCATTACTTGTTGTAATGCACCGAAATATAAAAGTTCAACATATAAAGAGTATACTCCATCACTTCAATTGAAAAAAAAAACAAATTCATGCATTAAGTGATTTATGGAGCGGAAGTAGATAAAAAGATGCTGTGCACTCAAGAATGGAACTCATCATAGTATGATAATTACATAGAATAGTTATTTTTATCATTTGGCACTTTTTTAAAACAGAATAATAAAAGAACATGAAGACATTAACAAACCACTTCTGTACTGTATGTTCCATTTTTTCACTCAAATACCATAAAATGATCTGATGATTCACAAAAATTTGACTCGTTTTTACTTCATTCAATAGAGCACTTTAAAATTTGTATGCAACGTCCTCTTCGATAAAGAATTTATTGTCTAAAAAGCAGTCTTCTTTCTTTTTTTTTAGATCATTCTCCTGATCCATATAAACTTCAAAGAATCAACATCTACTGAATCACCTATCTCAGTGTCCGACTCGGGTTGGGTTACTAACAGTTGGCCGATTTCGAACTGTTTGTAAGACAAACGGGAATTTCAGATGAGATAATGGTTTCATTGTTTTGAATATTGAGAGAAGTTATATAGATACACTGAAAAGATTGTTAACCTGTGAAAAAAACTCGTTTTTCTTGACCAAAAGCTGTCTTCGACTTCATATCGGGCCGGATCGGGTCAATAAGAAACTTTTGACCTCGGATCGAGTCACGAAAAATTGACCCATGCAGACATTGATCTATCTGCGACAATCAAAAAAGAAACGATGGAAATTTATAATAAAGATTGGAATAGAAGTAAAAATTATGTCGTAATATTTCATGTGAAATTCTATATCGTTTAGTATCTTTTCGTGGACTTAAAATAAATATTATTTTTGGAAATGTTTTGAAATAGAAAATTTGGAAAGGGTGGATATTGTTGTTGGTATAGCCGCTTGTTTTGCTAACGCCCACACCTTTTGTACTAAAATAATATTAATTTATTATTGAATGAAAAAGCAATGATGTCTTTTTCAGTCCTTTTTCGAACATGGTTTCGTTCGCTACTGAACTCAAAACTGGTGAGAAAAATACCGCAGGTGATTCTTGACTTTTAACTTAATATTTTTTTGATTTTAATTAGACCAGAATGAAACTAAAAAATAACCATGTGTGAATCTAATTTTATTATCAACTTCACCTGGTCACGCGTTATACGTAAGTAGAAAGATAACTATTTAAATCTCTGATCTGCACTAGTGGCGTAACTGAAGACTATTGGTAGTAGGGCAGTGCGCTTATGGTCTTAGGAGAAATCGATGAAATATAGTATCATTGATGATAATTTTTACTCTTTTCTTTCTTCTAGTAGCAGACTGAAAACGATCAGTAGTAGGGTGGTATCCGGTCTAGCTCAGTCTTGATTACGCTATTTGCCTCTACATTTCTAGAGAGCTCATGTAAAATAAACTTCCTACCAGAACCTTGATTATTCATAAGCTGGAGATGTAAGATCGATATATACGTTCATAATATCAGCAACAACACTAGCACATTCATATTGACACTGAGTTAAGACAAAGACTAATTAGCAAAAGAAAATTTACTTAAACATTACCAACGACATAGTGTCATCTGTTGATGCTAACAAACTCAAAAACCGTTCGTCTTTATAACTAGTTGTTCCAAAGACATGTTTAACACTGTGACAAAGAAGGCTTTTTTCTAATTGTTTTCAGGTTATCATTCATATATTATCCTAATAATACTATTTTGATCTTAACTAAAATATGAAATCGAAATAGTCTTATTAAATTAGTATAACTAGTAGTCTAGTTCTATAAGGCTTTGCTTTTCCCTGAACTCATTTAATACACAGTACACAAATGAATATCAAGAGATTCATTTTGAAAATTGTCAATATTATCAAAGCTTTGCTTCTCGCTTGGTTCGTTTCTATGCAATGAAAAGAGATGTTGATCTCCTTGGTTAGATCTGCTATTTATAATGACATAAGGTGTGACTATATTCATAACTTCTACATAAATTATTGTTGTCATTAAGCCATGCTTTCTATAATTCAGTCAAATTAAAAATTTAAACATTGAATAGAACAAAAGTTTTTTCGTTTTATATATGGTTAGTCCAAAATTATTAGGATAAGAGCCATAAGCACGAACGCTTGTAAGACTTTTCTTAGTATCATTGAGACGTATCTGAAACCAAAAGATGAAGTTAAAAGTTCTGAGTCAATTGGAATACTTACTTTGTGAATTGGTTTAACTCATTCAAATATATAATTGATCGTCTTTTTTCTAGTACAACACAAGGCCAAAGATTGTTCTTTCTGAATCAATTCTGAACTTTGATGAGTGGTCATAGATTTGATCAATATTTGTTCCAACAAAGCAATGCACTGTTCTTGAAAACTTTACTTAGATCAGAGCTGCCTCAGCCTACTCTACTGCCTTCCAGAATAGACGACACATGAAATTTTAGTTTTTCTTGGCTTGGCTCTCACGTTTCTGAAATCAAATGATGACTCATCGCCTTATTATTAGAATCCAGCAAGAAACGCTTGAGCCGAACGTCAAATTAGTGTTGTAGGACTTACATTGACTGACAAAATAACTTGTTTAAGTCCAAAACAATTGGTTAAAAAATTTTGCATTTGAACTACTGCAAAAAATTCACTGTCAAATGTAAATGTTCTTGCCTGTTTTTTAAGTATCATTTGTTTCCTACATTTTCTATTACTTCTTCCTTGTTGATCTAATCAAATCTTATTGTTGTGATTGCATTTTATCGATTTTACGAAATACAAGTGATGTGATCAAACACGTTCTTTTAATTCAAATTATTCTTGTATGAAAAATTCTTATATTGTTTCTTTTTGTTTCAATTTATTTTATCGTGCAAAAATTGGTTATTAGCCTATCTTCATGGAGATGAATTAAGTGAACAACTGAAACTAGAATGATGCATTAATATAATAATACAGAGTCCTAGAGTTTAACGTAATCGCAAAATGAAAAACATCAATAAGTCTAGGTATGGCCTGCTGGCAGATCTTCCTCAGATCCTTTAATAGTCAACATCTGAATCTTCGCACTTGTCTACACCACTTCAGAAAATCGATAAAGCAAATATTCCTTTTTTCATCGATTCATTTCGCTCAATCGCGGTATAATCTGTCTTATATTCTTTACCAAAAAAAAATATATATATATATATTTGTACAAAAAAAGAAAACCAAGAAAGAAGAAAAACAAAAATACAATACATATCATGTGCAGTAATCAACAAATGAACTAATTTTCAATCTTGATTGTTCGACTAATCTTACGTTAAAGTTATTTTTCTTTTTACTTGCGAAATATATTTCACATGAATGAACAGTACTGAGTCAATATATATATATATATATCCGACGGAACAAGTAATCATAACAATAATCACAAGAGACTGAACATATAAAAATTGAATTTAAAATAATCAGTGTTCATTACTGAACAAAAAAATATTTCATTATCTAATTCATCCATTTTCGACAATTAACTGCACCACATAAACATGGAATTTTAGAATCATCTTCAAAATTAAATTTATAATCATACATTATTTCTTCACCTTTATGAATACGTCGATTTGTTATTATTATTATTTTGTTGTCTTTTTCAATTTGTACGACTTCAGTTATTGCATTTGGCTATTTCAAAATAACATTTAAAAAGCAGATCAAATATAATAAATATGTGAATATTTTCTTTTCTTTTACCTCGCATGAATGATTTATATAACGAGCTAAACAGCCACTCAATGTCGCATCAACTACATAATCATCATCTAATCGAAACATATAAATTCCATGATTTTGTTGTTCATATAATTTTTCTCGTTTATTAGCAACTTCATTACGAATTAATTCGCCTATGTATTCAATAATCATCGTGTGTTTTTCCAGATCACGTGCTGCAAATAAACCTAAACCCTAAATAATAAATATATGTTTTAAAGATTGTTCTTAATATTCAACGGAATTTAATTAGTTTAAAAAAAGATAGTCAATTATTGATTTTTGTTCAATTCAAATTCTTACAAGTATTTCTCTGTTAGACTAGACTTTGTAATATAAGTAGAAGAGTCACATGTTGAGGAATCGCTGTTTAAAAAGCGTCTCAATATAGCTGTATTATTGTTTAATAAAATTCTATTCTAATTTTTGAAGGAAAACTTCTCATTTAAACCTTTTTGTAAAACGTGATCTGAAAGGAATGTTTTATTGTAATATACGAAAAGAAATTTGAACTTCTCCCTCTCTCCCCCTAAGTTGTGACAGACATAGCCGTCCATGCGAATCGAACTGAACAAAAACAGTCGGTGAACTGTTCAGTATAACGTGCACTATACTGGTGATTAACCGCCAATAGTGTGAACAAATACTTGTGTATAGAGATTGACGTAACTGCTGTGATCTTTTTTTCAAAAAAATCTCATGATTATAATCAAAGTCTGGTCATTTTAATTTTGTGCAGCTCACATAATTTTTTATGCAGGTTTCAATTTAGGTCTGAACTTGTTTTACTTTTCTTTTCATTCAATCTTATAGGCATTCATTCTTAATAGCACTTCTTTTGTTGTTTCACATAATTCATATTCAGATTTAACCTATATTGTTCTTATACAATCGTTTTGTATTTAAATCAGATGCTCTAACAATAGATGATTCGAATAGAATACGATCAAAAGCAAGAATACATTGCAGAAAAAGTTCATCGAATCTGATATGTTAAAACTCTCAAATAATCTACTATCAAGAATAATGAATTTGTGATTTTATCTTTCATTTTATGAGAAAAAGAATTCACTTTGTTCTTGAGCGAATTAGAACGTTTAGTTACTTTAGTTTTATTCTGCTCGTCAAATAAAGAACTTTAATGATACGAGTCGGTGTTCTTTTGCCTAGCACCAGTATGGGTAGTTGTTTTGTATAAAAATCAATAGAATTTTCATGGCTGTAACTGAAAAATAATCGTCACGCTAATCTTTATTCTTGTTACATATTTTAATCACACAGAGATTATGCTAACAAATTTTTAAATCTTATTTCAAAATTCAACGATGACATAAAGAATTTCTTTGTTCAGTTTTCAAATTCACTTAAGATTATCTTTTGATGAAAAACTAATAAATTTTGTAAATTCATGAATAGTCGATGAATAAAATTGAAATAACTTCTCTCATGACAGAAGATATTTGTAATTGATTTTAAGTTTTGAAAAGATAAATTTCATTCATTCTCAACATTAACTTACTTGAATTCGTGATTTAGCAAGATATACGTTTTGACGCCATTCTATTTTTAATTTTCTATATTGAGTTGATTTCGAATGTACAAAGTGTTTACCATATGGAATTTTATTAGCTATTTAAAACAAAAATCAAATTATACTTGAAATATATATTGTTTTTTGTTAATAATCTACTTTCAATTCCGTATAAAGTTCGTGATAAAGCATTTCGAATTGAATGTGAACTTGTTAATGCTTGTACATGTCTAAATATAAAATCAAGATTAATTTCTTACAAAACATCTCAAATTTACATACCGTCGAAAATGAGTTTGTAATTTTGATTCACTACGTGCACAACCTGTTGGATTAACTGTTAATGGCATATCAAATAATTGTAATCGACCATATTTAAATGCATAATTTTGTAACATTTCAACACCGGGTAATGATTCAATTAAACGAATAATATGTGGTTCCTAAAATAATTTACTTTTTAAAATAATCATAACTATTTAAAAAAAGCAAATATTATTTTACCGTTAATCCATATAAATCTTCACCCTTAACAAATACGGGAAACATTTTAACAAGACCATGTTTTTGTCTTAATAAATCAATTTCATGAATAATTTTATACCAAACAGATTTTGCACTTGATTCTAGAAATTCTTCTACTTGTTCATTATCATTTTCTTGTACACGTATTCGAAACATTGGTTTATTGTCAATATCAATTATTGAACATATATATGCACAACGACGATTTGGATTATGCATTGACCAATAAAATCTTGTTATAGTATAACCAACCTAAAGTTTTTTTTTATATATTGGAATATCAATCTCAAATACAAAAGAAAATTATTCATACAGGATAAACAAAATTTCGATTATGAAATGCAGATGATTGCAATTGATGAGGTAATAATTGACCAATATTATGAAGTATAAGACTACCAATACGTAATATATATGTTTTATCGTCATGTTCTTCATTCATATAACTAAAAAGAATAATATTTATTTTATCATTTTTTTTCACAAGACCAATAAGACTAATGTCGTTGTCAGAATAAAAGGGAGATAGGTCTAATCTCAAAAACTCAGCAATGATGGTAGCTAGCGACTTGCTATGTTCAGTAATCGAAAGAGGAGAACTCGGGACGTTTTTTTATTTGATAGTATAAGACAAAATTATTTTAAAACTTATGATATTTGTCAAAAGTTAAAAAAAAGTGCATGAACACTAGGAATGCTACGGTGATCGTGATCTCAGATTCATTTCAAATTTTTCAGTCAGCGAAAGTCTATGGCAAGAAAATAGCTGAATCTGTTGAAACATAACAAAACCGTGAGATCTAAGTCTTTCTTGAATGAGAAAATCAAACTTGCGAACCTCGACAAATCTTCTATGGATGTGAATTCCTAGATCCCGAAAGCCTTTACTTTATTTCTATAAAATTCAGCCAGGTTCTTGCAATGCTTTCCTCGATCGAAAAATAATCGAAATCAAGCCAAGATTACTACAGTTTTATCACGGCGTTCATCGTTAGATACTTGATGAAAACGAACCGTCTTTTCAAGGAAATTTTGGTAAATAGTCAACAAACGTGCTACAATCTAATAGAATTCCAAATGACTTGACATAATATATATGCCATTTAGTATGTCCAATATTGAGATATAAGAAGATAATGACCTAAATCTTGCCTTGTTCTACAGACCTGAAGTAAGTTTAACTGAAGCACAGGTCAAAATCAAAATTTCTATGCAATGAACCAGCATTTTCATATAGTTTTTTTTAATGTTTTGCGAACATGATAAGTTATAAAATAATTTTATTTCTTTTATAGTATCAGACAAAAATATATCTTTCTTCTTAATTTATGGTTAGTTTACTGAATATCTCAACATAATCTTGTACTATCTTTCTGATAAACTTCGCAATCGACTTTCGAATTTAACCTTTTCACATAGAAAGTTCTCAATAGGACTAATTAGTTTATCGTGACATTATCATACTTGCTAATATCTTCTATCTTGAGACATTTAAGAAGAAAGTTTATTCTTTTGACATCAGAAAATTATCAATATTTGTATCTGAAGATAAAAGATATTGATGAAAATACAACTATTTAGTTGCTAATGTCCTTCGATTTAGATTATCAATTAGACACGAAACAGAGCAATTGTGTTAGTCTTAATCTTATCAAAATACATCGAATTAAAATCTTATTTTTTGCTAATGAAAAATCGTAACAGTTTTCATGATTCTAATACAAGAGATATTCTTCATTATTTTGGTTATAACTTACTTTTGAATCTGTTTTATTTCATCTCTATTAATCCAAACTTTTCGAAAAACAGATTTATCTTCAAGTATTTGATCACCAGTTATTATTGTTGAAACATGTATTGGGCACATTATAGTCTATAAAAAATAATAATCTTATGATCATCTTCATTAACTTTTTCAGTATTTTTTCTTTCTTTCCTACTTTATTCTTATAAAAAACACAACCATTATCGATCGCACATGTTAAGTGATATGTATTTGTACATCGTTGATAAAAACATTTTAAACTTGCACCTTTTTGTTTACATATTAAACAGTCTGTATTTATTGAACGTTGAAATGCTTGTTCAACACACATTAATGCACCACTAACGGTTTCATAAACTTCCGAAGACCATAATGCGCAATTTAAATGACACCATTGACCAATATCAAAATTAAGTAATCTATTAATCATGAAAAAAGTCAGACCAAGAAAAGTTTGATTTAACAGATGGTACGTAAGAGTTTCTAGACAAAATTTGTAAACAATTTTCTGTTCTACAAGGTTATCAAGGGCAATAACTTTCAACACCTGTGCAAAAGAATCTATAGGGTTAGTGAAAATCTTTTTGTTCGCTATTTCAACTAATTTCTCAAAACTTTGAAACGATGTCTTCACTGCTCTTGAACACAAATAGGCACCACTATCACACTCAAGTTGGGTCGGATAATAAAAAAAAACTTTTGGATTTCGAGGCAGATCTACAACCTAAACATTTTGCAGATACAAAAGTCATTTTGAATGATGTTCTCACATCAAAGTTGTATAAAATAACATGAATAAGTTTAGTAAAACGCGAAATTATGTACCGCACGATCTTTTCTTTTACTTCATCGGTTTTTCTTTATTGACCTCGGACAGTGATGCATAGGGAGTACATTGTCTGTGTAATAATGATATAAATGTTGCAAGCTGTATACACAATAGAAGCAAGATAAACAAGGAAAAAATTCTACTACATAATCGTGCTAGCCTAATTGCGAAATATCAAGAAGATATCCTTTGTTTTCAACTACAGAATGAAAGGAAGACTAAAAGATTGAGAAATTGATTTTCTTAAGTGAAAGAGAAAAGTGACCGATACTAAAGTTCGACTCAAGTTGGATTTATTCAAAAAATTTGATCTAAGTCGGACACTGATATGCATACTATTTCTGAGTCCATCTTCGGATAGAGCATTAAATTCTAGTTCTAACCGATTAATGTTTTGTAAGTCTAGAATATTTTTAAACTGTTCAACTAAGAAATTAATAAACCTTTTGTCCAGAAACTTTCGCACCGTCAGTGAAAAAGAAATAATTAAATAAATGTTTTCACCTTCCGGGTCCATTGTTTGCCATATCATCAACACCATTACAAAATATACAAATTCGTTTATCTTGCTTAGCATTTAATGATAATGGCATTTTTATATCTGTTATTAATTGATCGATGTCATTTGTATTTGATGGATGAATGATCGGTTTCATTGATAAATTTGGATTCCATCGTTTCCATCGTTTATTAATATTCAACTACAGAATATGTTAAATTATTTTTTTGTCAAAAACAAAATCAAATCAAATTTACTTGAGTAAGATTTTCTTCTTGACGCTTTAATGATGAAGAGTTTATAGATACAGATGATAATGTATCTATTGGTTCATTTTTAATATTAGTTGATATTGTTTGTTGTTGATGTGCATTTGTTAAATATAAATTATAACATTGTTCATTACAAAAATATATAAATGGTTCAGAATTTAGTGTTAATTCACGTAGATTTAATGGTAATTCATTTAAACGTTTCTTTAATAAATTTTCAGTTAGCAAATTTTGTGAACAATGACGACAAATTTTTGTTTGCATATCAATTAATGATTGAATACTAACATTTGTTTCACGACCAATTTTATATATTGATATACTATGATTTATAGATGGTATTTGTGAATATGAAGATTGAGATAAGATATTATTAGTATTAGAATTATTTATTGTTGTTAAACATGTACAATTTGTATTATTTAATGTTTTATGAATATCAAATGTTGATGGATATGCAATTTTAAGTAAATCAGCAACAGCAGCAATGACACTTTGAACATTATTGGCTGCTTCAGTTGTTAATGTTAATGTAACTGATACCTATATTTATATAAATAAAATATGATACAAATCATTCTGACTGAACTATCATCAATTTTTAAGTAGACAGTCGATTCGGAGAGATTTTCTTTTTTGTTTCCATGCTTCATCTAACGAGAAAAATCTCTGAAATAGATTAATTGAAACCATGTGCATCATGTAAACTGTAATGCGCTATAAATATTCTGAAAAGAGTTTGAAATCTTAGCTTGATGATCCTCAGGAATACCAGGAAAATTGATTTTCGAGTTTTCATTTGAACTTTTCGACAAGATACAAGACTCAACAAGAATAATGTTGTGTGAAAGTTTCAGTTCTTTTGTGTTTTTCCTATTCTAAGATACGATTATAGTAAAAGCGTATCTATAACATCGGCAGATTCGATGTTAATATTTCTGGATAGGAACGGTGAAAACAGGGCATAACGATCTTTAGTGAAAAACTATCATGAAATTCGGTATCTCCATAGCAATGAGCTAAGAACATGAATTTTTTTCAGGCTATTTATCCATTTTTAAGCATAAAAAAGCGAACTTTTTTCTGTGGTTTTTAACACTTCAGAATTGTACTTAAATGACACATAGAAGTGAGCAGCAACTAAACACGTATTTCTACAAGTCGAGACAAAAGTTACTTTCTCGGCAAGAAAAGCTTGACCATCTCCGCTATATTTTGATCACATAGACTTTCGTCTAAGATAAGTACTCATAGTTTATATTCGTAAGAAATGCGATGAGATTTTGACATAAAAATAGAGCAGTGATTGTAACAATTTTTAAAAGATCAAGATGTTTATTCTTTTGGTCACCTATCAAGAGCATGATATATTTTAAATCTATGTTTCAAATAATAATCATTTAGTCGGAAATTTCTACCGTAAACACATGTCTTAATAATTAATGCAATCTGAAAGTTTTTATCATAAATAACTGATTTCTTCTTTTTGTGTCATTTCTATATTAATCGATGTTTAAATTTTAATTTTGAACTATAATATTCTCAAATCAAAGATTTTCTTTACTTTGTCAATTCCTTCGACAAGTGGTCGATCATTTTTTTCAAATTTATTATCATCAGATGGTTTATTTATTGTTGTTTCATTAAATTGATTTGTTTTTATGGATAATTCATTTTCATTTGATAATAATATAGGACTTAATAATTGTAAATTTCTATCGGAAGATGATGATAATGTTTTAAGTAAATGCATATTTTCGGTTTGAACATCATTTATAAAATTATCATCAGTAGCTAATGGTGATGCTGAAATAATACTTTCATCATTACACATATCATTTTGCTCTTTAGTCAGTTCAGATAATTTTTCCGATGAATTTATCATTAATGGTGGTGATGGTAAATTAGGTGGTTGATCAAGGAAATTTGAACATATTCGATAATGTCGTTCGAGTGCTGATGATGAATTTGTTAAGGATTTCGATGATATTTGTCGATTTGGACGATAATTATCATTAATATTTTCAATAAAAATATTACCAAATTCACCTTCATAGTTCGATTTTTTATCAGAAAATTGAAATGTTAAAAATAATTCATTATTACTATCAAACATAGGTTCAAGAGGCGTAAGCATAGGTAAATCATGTAATTTTTGTAAGGAATGTTCAACAAATTTTTCTGTTAATTCAATACCTTTTTCTGAATAAATCAACGAAGATTTTTTTTTTATTAGAATAAAAAACCGAAAATACAATGAACTTACTTTTACGTTTACGTGATTTTTTTGGTATATCATCTTCAAATGATGTATTTACGTCATTTGCTTTACGTTTTTTACGTGATTTAGATATTTTATCTGTATGAATTGTTGAAGGTAAATTCGATATATTCATTTGAGAATGTTCATTACTATTTGATGTAGTCTGTAATTTTAATTCAGTTTGAGAATTCTGCAAAAAGAATAAATATAATGGAAAAAGTTGTTAGCACAATTCATGCAGGATTAAAATGCAAAACATAATGTAGCTGCTGTTTCTAATCACAGAGAGATTGTTTTACCTAATCCTCCAGAAATGCATGAAACAAGTATTAACGAGATGCTATTGATATACGATCTGTGACATTGGGGAAAGGCGCAGTGAACAGATTCTATAGTACATGGAAATGGCTTATTTTCTGTCAAAAACACTTTTTTTTCCTGGAAATATATTCAACAAAAAGATTGATGAAAAAAAAAGTGAAACTTGTAAGAGAACATTTTCAATTGGAAAACGCATGACGAGATCATTACTTAAAACTTTTATCAGAAAAAATTTTACTTTAAAAATTAATTAGTGACGCATTATTTAATGTAGTTTTCTCGTTTTGATTTCAAGAATGTCCTTTTTTTCTTTTAAAGTAATTTTGAGATAAAAGAACGCGAAAAATCTTTAAAAACGAAGATTTTTTGAAGAAAATTTGTATTTCAATCCAGAAACATTTATGCATCACTACGGTGATTCAATATATGTATTAGACAGAAAAAAAAATCCTTTACAGGTTTCATCGGATTCGGAGCTGTGCTAAAGTGTGCACGTCAATTATACTGAACATGTCTTTTTAGAACAGCAAGAGGTTTACAATTAATTTCGTAGGTTATTCGACTTTCTTCGAAAGATACTTTTCTCTAAGTTGATAGAAACTTGATCAGTTTCTGGACGTAGAATTTTCCCAAACTCTGAACAAGCTAAAATATTTATTTGCGAACCAAACATGAACTGAACCTCCAAAATACATCAATTTGCACAATAAATATCAAAGAACAAAACTCACTCTTCAAAAAAAAGCTGCATTGCTCAATCTAATATATTGATAGATATATTTAGAAATATCCAGTCGTTTCTAAGAAAGACTTCGATACAGGTGCTATCTTTGACTAGCGTCTAACACGGTCTGTGTGAAATCGATCCGAGTTTTGATTGTGATACTTTAACATTCTTTTTAGATTGCCTTTCACAAAATTCAATAAATAATTCAACATACAACTTGTGAATTAAATTGTAATAAAGACTTGAGATTATTATCATCGCATGAGAGTGGATGAGATTGTTGTCTATCTGTTTGATAGATAATGTTAGGATCATAAATGATTGATGATTGTTGTGGCATTACTAATTGTGATGATAATCCATAAGTATTTGGATGTATCATTTGTGGTTGCATCATTTGCTGTGTTTGTATCATTGTTGGATAATTTAAAATAATAGGTGATATTCCATTTGATGGCTGTATTTGTTGATTAACTTTTCCAATAATTGAATGAGAATTAGTAATATATACTCCTGTTGATTTTTGATGATGATTATAATTATCAAAATTAGTTTGAGAAGAAATATAATTATTATTTAAAGATGATTCATGTATAGGATATGTTCCAATCATAGTTGGTGTTATTGATGGGTGATTCATATGTTGTATATTATTAATACCTAAAGTATTTGATAATGATGATGGTATAGGTATAAGTGATGAAGATATTGATGGTGATAATGAATGTTCTCTTGTTTCTGGTTGTCTTGATGTTGGAATATTGATACCAAAGTTATGTAATAATTCTTGATTAAAACGAACAGGATGTTGACTTGATGGATTTTGTTGTTGAATTATATTACGTGATATTGCTATATTATTATTACTATTAGATAATGAATTTGTGGATATGGATAAATCATCAGATGTTTGATGTGATGATGAATCATGATGATATTTTACGGTATTTAATGAGTCTTCAAATGGATTTTGAACAATTATTTTCCTAAAATAATCAAATCAATTTAAAAAAAAAAAGAATATTACACGGATTTTAATTATACATTGATTTTGAAGTATTGTCAATATTTGTTGTGCACATTATTGGTGTATTATAAATATGTGTATCAACAGGTGTATTTACTCGTCTATATTCAGGGATTCCATCGAGATTAGTAAATGTTGAGTCATTCATTATTAATAAGCATTTCTTTTTTTAAACAGTACTGTTCTGTTTTACATCATTAAAGGATATACATCTAAAATGTATAGTTCTACAAATATCTTGTAAAACAAAACAAAAAGGAATAATTTGAATATTCATCAATGAAATAAGTTCAGGAGTAACATGAATATGATGATTCTTAAGGAATCATATTACAAAAGAATTAACCGGAAATTACATTTTATCAATTTATTTTTGAAGTATATCTCATTTAAATAAGAAGCGAAATAGACTCTTCAATATTGTGTATTATTATTGTTGTATTCTAATCATCTGTCTCTTTTTCATTATAAATCGGTCTTTTTTGCAAGTTTGATTATATTAAAAAGGGGGAAAAATTAAATATAAAGCACTTCTTTTTTTTTCATTTGTATTCCATTGGATTTTGATGATATTAAAAATCTAAAGATTAAAATAATTTTTAAAGCATTAATTTCCAATGTTGTCTTAAATAAATAGTTTACTTAAATACTTTTAAATTGTTTGATTGTTTTATACGCGATAGAAAAAAAAATCAGATGCCATGTTTAAATTGTCTTGTCTTCTTTAGATCTCTTGTTACAGTTGATTTCTAATTTCAACATGCAAAACCAATATAAGTTCGAAATAAATATTTTTTATAATGAATAATAAAACTAAAATATATTGGATAGATCAATTTTTCGATCTTTCAATATAGAACAGATGTCGCATTTGTATGGACATTCAACATGGACTTGTCTTGATATGCATATCAAATTTTACTGCAGTAAAATTTCTACTAAAGAACATCTCCTAATTATTAGTAGGCTTAAATTCGATGGAACTTTTTTTTTGTGGAAATACTTCTCTCGCATGTGGACATCTTCGTACTCTGAACAGTGAACACACATGTAATGTTTTTTTGATCTCTTCTATTGAAGATCACTAGTGCCATGTGTACGACGACTCAGTACACTTTATTTATGAATCTATCATTGTACGTATGAAGAACATAATGATATCACGACCTTTCTAAACTGAAAATTTCTGTATAATGAACGGCTTTTAAGGATTCTCATGGTGTTCTCATTCGCAAGATTTTACTATCCGAGTAAATACAAAACCATTTAGACTGAAATAGTGTATATGATTCAAAGAATTTTAACATAATGCAATATGTGATAAACCCTCTCCCATAATAGAAGCCCCCAGGGGCTTCTAAACTGGCGAGTGTTCAGATTTTTTGGAGGGGACTTCTATTAGGTCTCATGATTTTTCAAAGATTCTAAGTAGAAAAACTTTTCAAAAGTGCTAAGGGGTTTACAGTGTTTTTATGGATTGTTTGAAAGATTTTCGAAGATATTTCGAGATTTTGATACCGATAAATAAGAGTTTAACACATTTTTGCCGTAAAATCTTGCATTTCTTAAATAGTACTATGAAAAACGCAAACTTGTCAAGAAATTTTTAAAATTTTTTGAAAATGAAAGAGGCTTCTAATAAGTCTTGCAGATCAACTTTTTCGGAGGAGGCTTCTAATAGGGGAGGGTTTCTAATATGGAGGGGCTTCTATTATGTGGGGGCGGGGGAGGGTTTACTAGTATCTGTTCTTATTCATCTTGTAGCACCTATTCGACATAGAGAAAAAGGACTTTTCTTAGGATGGCAATGTCATTAGAGAATTTGAAGATTGAAAGACTAGTTTGCATCGTTGCTCAGTTTGTTCGATTACTTTTTCTATTAAGAGATTTTTCATTTTATATGAAAAGAAGTCAATTTTACTTTCATTACACATCACAATCATTTATGGTCGATTTACGTTCATGACTTTCATTTTATCTTAAAATAATCATTGCATTTTCAAAACAAAAAACAATTCATCAGTGATCATTTGCTTAATAATTACAAGAGAATGCCATTTGTTCAGTGGATATCCAAGCTCAATCTTTTCGAATCGAACGACATCGATGAACGCACTTTACGACTACAACATTGGATTACTCGTTTCTATATTCTCATTTTTTCATTAACATTATTCGTTCTGGGTATTTATGTGCCCTTACAAGTTACTGCTCATCATTATGAAATAGAGTATCTGACACCGGATCTCTATGAACAAATACCAAAAAATTTATTCAGCAGAATGTTCTTGTACAGACGTGTCCATTTCATATGGACAGTTTGTTCAGTTCATACCGAAGTATCATCAAGTTTGTTTAAATGATTTTATTATAAAGCGCTGGATCGATTATTTCTTTGATCTAGCAACAACGCCATTCTATCCTACTTTTGATTATCGTGCAAGTGTTACTCAGCAATTTCAACTACTAGCCAGTCTATGTCGACTAAGTAGTCAAGTCATTGATGACAGTCTTCGGACATTTTCAAGCACAGAACTCATCACAGGCCAGTTACTCAGTTGAACTCTTCTCTTAACTCACATGCAAGCACATATCGAAGCGTTCAAAGTCAATACTCTAGATACATTTGATCGTTTATTTTACTTTTTTGTCAATGAGTTTCTCTTTGGTAATACACTTTTACCGGCAACTAACACATTTATAAGTTTCTTTTTCTTCAAATATTTTAATGGGCAATGGGCAGTTTTTGTAACTTCGCATAACTTTACACTGTCTAATAAAAATTATTGATTGTGTGATGTGCCCACTACATGCCATGAATCTGCACGCATATATATAACAATGTTTCGGTTGATATTCAAACAAAATACTATTCCAACTTTGATATCGTTGATGGATGATATGCTGGTTGTTGTCCTATCGATTTAATTTTACTTTCGATACTCAAGATTTTCTATAATTAAATGACTCTTGATTCACTTTTACTCTTCATTAAAAGTCCATCAGCCAATTTCACATGTCTTGATATGAAGCAGATAACTACATTCGATTCAAATACTACCACCATTGGAATTCTTGTAAAAGCAAGTTTTATCGACTATTGGACTGAGAACATTAACTATTCATTATACTTTGATTTATGTACACCAAAATCATGTGTCTATACAATCAATAGACGTTTCAACGTTGTCTGCATGGTCACTACTCTACTTGGACTCTATGGGGGACTTTCGATTACTCTTCGTGTTACTCTTCCGATGATTGTCGAATTTATCTTTCGGTGAAGGCAACAAGTACTAATACCAGAGAATGTATCGAGTCGGATGAAAAAACTTGGTCGTACCCTACTTCAACTGAATCTCTTCAAATCAGCCATTCATGTTAGATCAGCTGATATCTATCGGCAACAATGGTCAACGCATCTCTATATTCTGTTTCTTTCTCTGGCTCTTACTATTCTCACATTGTACACAACAGTGAGAGTACAAACAATGAAAGTTAAGTTGACCAATCCTTCATTGGAGACAGTCTTAGACCTTGAACAAAATTTTGATATAGCATTTTTGCAATATTCATGTTCACAACTTTCATCATTACTAAAAAGTTTCATCACACTTATGCCTACGTATCACGAGGTGTGTGCGAACAATTTTATATCCGAATCATGGATATTTCTATTAACAGTCTACAGTTTTTCCCAATAATGATATACGTCGAAGTGGGTCAGTGTTTCGACTTCTTCGATTACTCTGTGAACTAAGCAATCAAGCAGTGAGTAATGCATTTGATCGATTCTTGGAAACATGATTAATCACAAGAAATCTTCTTAAATTCGATCATTTTAAGTCTCGAATGACATCGAGCGTAAACTATTTTTATGTTACCACACCCCATTATTTCTCTTATTCAGTCGAGTTCATGCATGAAACAACACGAGTCAATCAATTCATTCCAGCAATGGCAACAAACTTTTTTATGAATGTAAACAATAACACAGGACATTTGCAAGTAACTCTGGAAGCACGTGATTTAAGTATTGAGTTTCCTAATTTTATTTGTGTAAGGATCCTTAATCCAAACTGCACATTGCCAACCGTCATGATAAACTATCTACCAGATGGAAATAGCAAAACATATATTACTCCTGGTTTCTATATATCCTCTTATTATGTTGACTCATTATTATATTCACAGCTACAATTTCTAATAAATCAATAAATGTAGAATTATTTTAATGCAAAAATCTTTTATTTTTAATGCAATATGGGAATTTTCGATCTTAAACGATCATTTTCAACCAAAATAACAGAAACTTTTACAATAGAGATGTTACAAAACATGACAACAAAAACGAAAAGAAAATGATGGAAATATCTTGACATTTTGAAGTACTACCAATATAACATGAACATCATATTGATTGCATGAAGATAATTCTACATTGATTGATTTATTAGAAATTGAATTAAAAATCTCATGTTAAATTACATTCATACATAATTATTATAATTAAAGTAGAAATTTCAAACATGAGTTATACATATAAAGAGAGTAAGTTTTAGGTATTTGGAATAAAATCAAGGTTATGATGTATATGTTTATGATGTTCAAGTTCATAGTGTTAGTACTTCACAACTCAAGATATTTCCATCTTTTTTCATTTTCCTTTTGATTTTTGTTGTCAAGTTTTGTAACATCTCTGTTATAAAAGTCCTGGTATATAGGTTGAAAATGATGGATTAAGATCGAAAATTCCCGTATTATGTTAAAATAAAAAACGATTTTGCATTAAAATAATTCTACATTTATTGATTTATTAGAAATTGAATTAAAAATTTCATGTTAAGTTACATTCATACAGTTATAATGTCTTTATGATCAGTCTTGCATTGATTTTATTGTACTGATAAGTAGTATGCTGTTGTCTGATAGGCCTAATTTCAGTGCACTATCACAGTCAAGTCGATATTGAATCCATGAAACATTTGCTTCACTTGTTAATAATTTATTTATTGAACAGTGGACATGCACATTTAGTTATGTGATTTACTTCGAACAGTGTCAGCCTCAATTTTGTTCATACACAATCAGTCGACGACCAACTCTGGTCTTAATCATTACAACTGTTGTTGGCTTGTTCGGTGGTTT